TAACTTTTTATTTTTATATATAAAAAATGAAAAGAGTCATACAGTCAAATGTCAATAACAATAAATATTTAAATATTATTTGATTATCATAGAAAAAAATTTATCCCAGTAAAAAATATTTTATTTTTAATGTTATAAAAACTAAAGAAGAAAATATTTAAATTGAAAATCTAAAAAATATTCATATTTCAATAATTAAAATTAAAGAAAGATAATAAATAATTAATAAATTTATAACTAAATATTTATTAAAAAAATCTCTAAAGCACAATTTTAAAATTACTTAAAAATTAAATTCTTTTAAGATTGATTGAAGAAATCTGTAATTATAGTTTGTTTGGTAAATTCCACTTTTAGTGGTCATATGAATTGACGAAAAGTTGTGTCCAAACTTTTAGCAAAAAAGATATTCAATCAACTTTTTCTTGAATGGAATTTATGTGCTTAATAGTTGAATTTTCTATCTTAGTCCAAGTAATAAGGTCTTTTTATTTATTCATAATAATAATGGCAATATTAATATATTCAGCGTAATTGGGTAGAAAAAAAATGTGTGAACCTTATTGATCAATTAGTTGAATTAATTATTATTTTGGATTATGATATCCATCTAACTTGATTAGTCCATCTTATGATCTAATTGTCTTTGACTTTCCTTACACCATCAAAATCACAAAAAGTTACTTTTTTGCAAATTAAAAGCCAAAAATTAATTATTTTCTGTTTTCACATCAGAATGTACCATTTATTATTTTTGGAATTTAGTCCTCTCTTTTCATTTCAATCTAAGATACAAGATGAGCAATAATTTTCTTTTGGCCACTTGCGATTTTAATAGAGTAAAATAACTCTATAAGATTTTAGGTATTTTATTTATAAGTTTTTTGAGTGTGTTTTTTTTTAAAAAAAAATTATTCTCAGACAACAAGAATCATATAACATGAGTTGTCTATAAAGCCCCTAAACTTCAAATTCAAAAAGTGGTACAATTGATAAACTTGAGAGTTAAGTAAAGTGAAGATTCATTTACCAATCAGGGTTACGGTGAAGTGGTAAGTACTCCTTCATCCTTAATCAGGGGTTTTGGGTTCGAGTCTTTCCGAATTTTCTAGCAAAAAATCAAATTTAATCAGGCTCTAATACGAATACTAAACATCAAATTGAAAACCAAAAATAAAAGTAAAGATCCATTTGGAAATATGTATATTGAAAAAGGCTACACAAAAAATATATTATGAAAGCAAGGGGAAGATACATGAAGGTGTTGTTCGGTAGAATTTATTGAGAAAATAATACATGCATTAATTGTGATATTATTTAATCATTTATAGTATAATTTTCTGTGTACAACTAATGTACTTCCCTCTTTTTCTAATTATTTATCCACTTGTCCTTTTTTAGTTATTCTTTCTTAATTACTTGTCTATTTTTTCTTTTTTAGTTGTCTCTAATACTTATTTATTTTGACAAATTAAGAAAGGACAAATTTTTTTACCTATTATACCCTCAATTAATTTCTTTAAAAAAGGTACAACTTCTTAAAAATCATAAGTTTTTAATTTATCTACTTCATAATTAATAGAGATAAAATGATAAACTCACTATGTCAATCATTGATTTCTTAATATGTTTATTAATTCAAAAATAGACAAATAATTAGGAACAGAGAGAGTATGTATTAGCTAATTAAATAGTGAATAGAAAATAATTTCATCATAATTAATTCCAATATTACTAATCTGAAATTTTTTAATACACTATTCAATATTATATTTGTACACTCTACCAAATAACCTGATAAATGCAAGAGAAGCTCACTTTTTTGTTCCATGATTGACAAGTACTAGTAATTGGTAACATATTAAAATAATAATTAATTTGCTATAGGTTAAACTAATTACTGATACCGACATACCGTAACTTCAAACTTATTTATGAAAAATATTTTTTGTAAAAAGATAAGTTTCTTAATTAAATATGAGGAAAATATTTTTCCTAATAAAAGTAGAAAAAACAAGTTTAACAAATGATATTTCATATTGATTGTGTTCTCCTTACCCTTCAATACACCTTATCGAGTGTGTGGTTATTTCAAAAGATTGAAAACATCGTAAGAGTACATTTATGAAATATAAGGCTATTTGGAGAAGATTCGAGGTGGCTTTTGAATAAATTTTAGTAGCAAAACTCGCTAAAGAATTTCAATTATAGCCAATATCTTATGCACTATTTCTGAATTAGCCACTTCTCTTAGTAACCAATTTTTAATTATATTTTAAATAAAACTTTTTCAGCTTAATATATATATATCATGTGCATATCATAAAAGGACTAATGAGTGATATTTTAAGGAATAAATAAGTTTTTTATTATACCATATTAGTATATGATATATATCTAGGGAGAAATGAACTTATTTATGATGGAATGAACTAATCCTTTATTAGTATATATATATAATACTAGATAATGTTGTCCGTGATATGCACGGGCCCAACAATATAAATGGTATATTCTGGGGCTAATAACCGAGTTTTTGAAGCGATTGTTTGCGTGGATAAAGGAATAAGTTTTTTTAACACAAACCTGTACTTTCTTTGACGCTATTTAAGGCATAATAAGACTACTCACATACAATATTTTTGAAATATTTTATGTTGTCAATTATCATGATTTATAGTATTTTTACGATATATTCACTTCAAGAATCAGTGGAATTTTTTGTATTTTTTTTCAAATCATATTTTATGTTGTCAATTATTATGATTTATAGTATTTTTACGCAATTTTTAAATATAAAAAAATAAGACAAATAAATTAAAATGGACCCAATATATGTTATTTTTGTTGTCTCTATTTATGTAACACAAATGAAATTTGGAGAGTCATCCAAATTTTCATATTTTTTTTAAAAATGTTTGAAGTTATTAATTATTGTGATTTATAATATTTTTATGTAACTTTGAAATATTGTACATTACTGGTCACTTTGTCCTAATTTATGTGATATGGATATAATTACAAAATTAACCCTTTTAAAATGTCTTTCAGATATTTTAAGTTGTTAATTATTATTATTTATAATACTTTTTTGGTAATATTAAAATGATATGTGTTATTTTTTTGTCCCAATATATGTGAGCCTGATAGAATTCTGAGAGTCAACCTATTTTATTATATAGCTTTTAAATAATTTAATGTTTTTTAAGTCATTTGTAAATGATATATGTTGCTTCCTTGATTGAGACTTTTCCATTTGTGAGATATATATATTATTTTAAAAGGGAGTTTATGCCCAAGTTCTACTATATATTATACTTGGGTATAAAATAGAATTTGAATATTATATATTATACTTGAGCCTAAACTCTCTTTTATAATATAGTAGAATATACCATAAAGATAATATAGAGAACTAAAGAGTTTTTTTTTTTGGAAGCAGTGATTCGGTCTGTTATAATACCTTGTTGATATATAACATATATACAAGGTAAATATCATATAGGATCAAAGAGTTTTATTAAGGAATTGAATATGCCATCGATGATACCATATATGTATACTTCATATATACTAGGTTATATACTATATGTTAAAAAAAAAGAAGTTATTCTATGATAATTAATTTTTCTATAGATATAAAAGTAAATAAATAGACAAAAGTAATTAACTTAAATTTTGTGGATGATTTTTTTTTTTCCATTTAAGAAAAAGGACTAAATATAGTCTTGGAGAAATTATGTGGATAATCAAACATATACTAATTAATTAACTAACATAACTATAAATTCCATTAATTACCACTCACAACTTAATTTAAGCTATAATTACGTACACCTCTCTCCTCTCTTCCTCTCTCTTCTCTCTTATACATATACAAATCCAAATCCAAATTATACATATACATAAAAAAATATATGAAGATATACAAATACAATTCGTCTCTCACTCGCCTCTATCCTCCCTCTCACAATCTCGCTCACCCAGATTTGCAAATACATATGTATATCAGTTACATATATATAATTATTTGATAAATATACATATAAAATTCGACATATATATATATATATACAATTAGCCTCTCCCCACTCTCTCGCACGCCTCTCTCATCCCTCTCCCAATCTCGCTAGCCTCCCCCCTCATTCTAACATGTAGCTACGAATCATAATTAACAAACTATAGTTATAGCCTAATTATGTTTATTTTAGTGGCTATTTGCGAAATTTCCATTTTTTACTTTACTAAATTATTATTAACTTTATTGTCCAACCTTACCAATTACTAAATACCGGCGGCAATTTCATTGCCATTGACGGAAGTTGAAATACCGGCGGCAATTTCAATTGTTGAATTGCATAGCCATTGGCGGAAGTTGAAGAAGAGCAGAGTCTTATCAATCAGCTTATAAATTGCTGATAGTCTTCACCAGAAGAGGTATTTCATATATTACTTCGAATTTTTCCTCCATTAATTTTTGTTCCTGCTATGTTTCAGACTCAATTCGACCAATTTTTAACTGAAATAGGAAAATTGTTGAATGAAGAGTGTTATTATATCTACACATTTTATATTTTTTTGTGTTAGTGTTTTGATTTTGTTAATCACGTCACCATTTCATTCAGTTCGAAATGGGTAGATTCTGTTGAAATTGGGGGAAAATGTTAATTGGGGATATATTTGATAAGTTCAGTAAAGTTGATCAGATAGTATAATGGAGGATTTGCAGCCAAGGTGTGGCGTAGTGGTCAATGAAGTGAGTTGAGAATCATCTTAGGTTCATATTCCAGCAGAGACAAAAAACACAAGCTGATTTCTTCTCATTTGTCCTAGCTTTGTTGGACAGAGTTATCTGGTACTTGTCGCTGGTGGGAGGTGACAGGTATCCCATGGAATTAGTCCACATGTGCGAAAGTTGGATATGTATATATATATCCTCGCTATTTGCAGATCTGATTTTCGAATGTTTAGAGGAAACCTCTCATATTTTTTATTTTAAGAATTAAAAGGGGAATGGAAACAAGGGAGAGAAATAAAGTATACAAACATTAGCAAAAAGAAAATTCCAAATTTCTGTGCGTGAGATGATGATCCAAGATTAGGTTTTTTGGTTATCAAACTTGGCTGCATTGTAGCTTATAGGAAAAAGAACAAGAGGAAGAAATTCAATAATGACCCAAGTCGAGTTCTTGTTCCACCTTACTTCGTAGGTAATTTAATAATGACCACACAACTTGTATGTTTATGAAGATGAAGTGCAGTTAACTTATCTATATGTTATGTTAAAAAGCTACGTATATATTGCTTGTGCATTTTATACAGTTACTTCGTCAAGTTGCATAAGTTCACTGTTTCAAAGAACTTGTGTTGTTTGGTTTGGTTACTCGTCTTGAATGAAATAGTAAGATGATTGATTTGCTTTTGCTTTTTTGGTTAAATTGTTGTTTATATAAATGTAGAAGCTACAAGATGCGATTTTTCAGATCTTAAAAAGTAACAAGAAAGTTTTAGGAGTTGTGATTTGAAGTTTGATTTGCCAGGTGAGAAAATGACATTCATGTGGTAAAGAGCACTTCTTTTTGATAAACCTCGTAGTTGTTGTAAACTTCATAAAGTTGAAATGACTCTGATTTGCAACATTTTCCACTTCTCCGTGTACCTCTCCTTTTGTCTTTCCTTATATACTAGGCTGTCTTTTGCTTTTCTCTTTGTTCTTTATGTTATTATTTTCTTTTTCGAGTTTAGTGATGTTGTTTGGCGAAGATAAAGGGGAAAACAGGACTAGTTTTGGAGTTAATGCCAATGTGAAGCTAATTTTGAGAACAATATAGAGAAAGAATATGAGTAGGTTACACAGAAGGAGCGAGTAAGTGGTTTTGCTGGATAAAATATGATGTTATTTTATGTGACGGATGTTTTTGTAATATTTGCATATATGTGAAACTTCGTTGTTATTGACCTGACGATGAAAGAAAAACTTGTACTTAATTTGAATTAGTTATAATTATAATTATCAACGGTTTTGTTTTTGTCCTCTGCCCTTATTTGCTGAACCTTTCGTGCAGGTTTATTTGCTTGAGTGAAGACCTTTTTGATAAAAGAGATGTACTAGTACATGAGAACTTCCCTTCGTGTGTGGTAAATGGTACCAGAAATTCTTGGTTCACTATTGCATCATTGTTCTAAGACCAAGGCATTCCATTATGGACTCTCTCTTCATGCAGCTGCAATCAAGTCAGGCTTACAAGGTGATGTTCTCATATCCAATCACATCCTCAACATGTATGCCAAGTGTGGAAATATTAACTTTGCCAGTCAGATTTTTAATGAGATGTCCAAAAGAAATCTCGTTACCTGGTCAGCCATGATCGCTGGTTATGATCAAGATGGTAAACACCTCATGGCTATCAGCCTCTACTCCCAAATGCCACTAGAGCCCAATGAATTTGTCCTTGCTAGTGCTCTTAGTTCATGTGCTAACCTCTTGGCCTTGAAACTTGGTAGACAAATACATTCCCAGTCTATCAAATTAGGCTGTTCATCCATTTCGTTTGTGTCCAACTCTCTGATCTCAATGTACATGAAAAATGGTCAATGTAGTGACGCTCTATCAGTTTTTGCATTGACACCCACTCCCACTGATGTCTCTTACAACACAATCATAATGGGTTTGGTAGAAAGTAATCAAAGAGAGAAAGCATTTGAAGTCTACAAAAGTATGTGCCAACAAGGGTTGGTTCCGGACCGCTTTACCTTTGTTGGCTTATTAGGAACCTGCAATACTGCACATGATTTGGGGAAAGGAATGCAATTGCATAGCCAAACAATCAAGCTCAATCTTGATGGGACCGCCTTTATAGGCAATATAATAATGACAATGTACTCAAATTTGAACTTGTTAAATGAAGCTGACAAAATTTTCAGATCAATCAAAGAGAAAGATGTCATTTCATGGAATACTCTCATTGCTGCTTGTTCTCGTTGTGATGATCATTCTAAGGCCTTGGTTGTTTTTAGAGAGATGGTTGAATATTTTGATGGAGGGCCTGATGAGTTTACTTATGCTAGTCTGCTTTCTGCATGTGCTGGCATGGGTTCGATGCAATTTGGGCAGCAAATACATGCTCATCTTATTAGAAAAAGCTCAAGTGTAGATATTGGTGTTGTCAATGCCCTTGTGAACATGTATGCTAAATGTGGCTGTATCCAGTATGCATATACAACTTTTAGGCTAATGATTTCTCGTAACCTTGTCTCATGGAATAGTGTCATTGCTGGATTTGCTAACCATGGCCACGGAAAAAAAGTTATAAAATTATTCGAGGAGATGAAGAGTGTTGGTTTAAAGCCTGATTCTGTCACATTTCTCGGACTTCTAGTCGCTTGCAATCATGCAGGGCTTGTAGATGAGGGCCTATATTACTTCAATACCATGAACGAGATTTATGGGGTTACTCCCGACATTGAACATTTCTCTTGCCTCATTGATTTACTAGGACGAGCTGGGAGACTGAAAGATGCTGAAGAATACATGCAAAGGTACCCCTTTGGGCATGATTCAGTTGTTTTAGGTTGCTTACTTTCAGCTTGTCGGCTGCATGGTGATGTTGTAATTGGGGAAAGAATGGCTAAGAAGCTCCTACAGCTTCAGCCAGTTTCTACTTCGCCTTATGTTTTGTTATCAAACTTATATGCTTCAGACGAGAGGTGGGATAGTGTAGCAGAGGCAAGAAAAATGCTGAAGAGTTGTGGTTTAAAGAAGGAGGCAGGTCATAGTCTCATTGAAGTGAAGGGATCTGTTGAGAAGTTCACAATTGGCAATTTTGCGAACTCGAGGATTGAGGAAATCGTGAATGTGCTTGGAACTTTAGGCTGTGGATGGGATGAAGAAATTATCCTCCTTGATTCAGCATAGGAAAGGCAGATCTGTTCCCACTGCTTCAGCACTATTGCGAACATTAAGCTCGGCATGTACGAAGGATTTCTGAAATGACAGATTTTACTGAACTAACAAAGGTGTGGACTTATCTTTTCAATCTGCTTCTTTCAAACTGTTTTTGGTCTTTTAAAACTTGATACTCGGAGATGAATGTTGTTGTGTCTTCCTTCATGATGTAATCGGATGGTTTGGTTATCTAGCTGTTGATCTGGATATTTATCTAAGAGTTTATATATTTAGTCTGACAGGTCGAGTTTTGTGACTGCAATCACCCTATGCTTTGGTAACAGCTGAGTTTGTTGCCCTCATTCTTTAGGGATGGATTTGGCATTTTGATCCCCACTGACTGAAATTTTCCTCTTTAAGGTGCATAAGAAAGTTTATATTCTTTGACCTTTGTGGCTGATTTTGTAACTCTAATTCTTTAAGCATAGGTTTCACAATTTGATCCTACTGAATTTAAATTAAAATAGGTTGGGTGAGCTTCCAAATTAACTCAGTCTCATTGAATAAGTAAACAATTGGATTGGTTCAATGACAAAAATTTGCCTCTAAAACTGCGTAGAGAACTCTTAATTCTTGGCCTTTCAGGTTCAGGTATGAATTTGTTAGAACGATTAAAGGTATCTTGTTAAAACCAGTTTTCTCTATGGAGATGCAGTTGCTCTTTACCTGCATCCCGTATTTGAGATTCTACGATCTTATGCATATGGAGAATTCCTTTGACATGTGAATGAAATGTCATTTCACTTTTGGGATTTATTCTTTTCTGTGTATCAATTTTGAGCTACAAGTAAACTCTTAGCATGTGCTACTTTTCCAGGTCATATTATGTCTCAAAAAATCACTTTCGTAAGTTTATGTATCATGTAACGTGACGGAATAAGTGGTTCTTTGAATGCTAGTTGTTCTGGTACAGTGTCTATCTATTTATCTACGAGCAGCTATACTCTCTAATTTCATATACTCACTTCTATTCTCTTCAGCAACAACTATTCTCATGTTTTTGCCATCACATGACTTCTTCCAGCATCTAAAAAACCGATACTTTTTTTGTCAAAGAAAATCTTTTCTGGTGAATTCACTTAACCTAAAGTAAAGTGCACTTTTCTGTTTGGCAATTTGGTGATAGGATGAGTTTCTGTTGATTAAGATTTATGTTTACGCTTTTAGAGCATAAACATAAACAAAAAACAGTAGATGATTTCTTCCCATCTGTTACTTGTTACCTGTTGATAAGTGGGAGGTGATAGATATGCCGTGGAATTAGTCGAGTTGCGTGCAAGTTGTCCCGGATACCACAACTATAAAACAAAAAATGTTTATGTTCTATGCTGCTACTACTTTGTGGTTGTTGCCATTACCTGATATCCTTGCCTCGTTTGCTTTGTTTTGTTCTTTCAAAATGTTTGTCTTTTTTTTATTATATAGATAAAGAAAAGTATCAGAGCCTCACTCGGTTTAGCTTTCTGTTCAGATACATATATCAACACTCATGGAAGTACATCATCATCCATAAGCATCAGCAGATCATTAAAGATGAATATATTTGTATTGTTCAACAAGAGTCTGCAGCAACAAGCTGCGAAAAGTCAATCCCCATACAGTATACTTGACACTAATAGAAGTTACAAAGTGAAGTCGCGGTGGTGCCTCACTGCCTCTCTAGCCATGGGTGTTTGGCTAAGAAATTCCTCAGAGATTATAGGAGTTGCATCAAAGCTGTAAATTTTTGGTGAAATATTCTTTAAATACCAGTCTGCGTTGATGGGCAATGAAACAATACGTTTACAAGGTTGATATCAGCAAGACGGATCCCTTTTTCTTTCTTTTTTTCACTCTTCTTTCATGTTGCACAATGTGAAATAAGAAAATTTTATGATTTCTCTGCAACACTTATCTTACTATACCCAATTTCACAAACTTAAATTTGCGTTTTCAGTGTTTCTATTCCTTTATCTCAAAGTTATTGAAGGTTATAGACTTAATAATGGTGTTTCCTTTTACTTTGTTCAACTTTCCATTATTCCTAATATGGTAACCATCTGCACTGGAGAACAATATCCATGTAGGTGTGTGTTACAAGGCCACTCAGTCTTGAAATCCACGGTTCAGATTTCAGTAGATATAAAAGTACTAATACTGGACAAAGTTAATTGGTACATGTGTTGGTACAAGCTAGCAAGTATTTGGTGGAATAGTCAAGTTGCAAGCGAGCAAGGCTGAACACAAGTGTCAACAACAACAATGAACAGGTTTGAAAGCTAGGATGAAAATAATAAAGAAAAGAAATCACTGATGGTAAAAAGGTAATCAATGTACTAGAAACAAAAGGTAGTAGTAATAAAATTTGAAGAATAAGATAAAGAAGAGCCACAGCTGCGGGATTAAGGGAAATTCAAAATGCCCAAAAAACAATTTACTTACTCTAATGTACAAGCATCTGTTTGTTTCACAACAAACAAGCAACGCAAGCTAAACAGTAACGTTCGTCATCCTCCAATAAAAAGTATACAGTGGCATCAAGCTACAAAATCATTTTCATATATTTACAACTTGTTCCATCGGCCACTACACTCCGTATTACAGCTGAAACATACAAGGAACACAAAAGTAACCATTTTGATTGGACGCCCCAAATTACTCATTTATTTATTATGTAAATGTATCCTCTCGATCTGCCTCAGCAGTATCACCTTCCTCCATATTACTGAATTCCAGGAAATGCGTTGGTCTGTGATCCTCATTGTAGTACTCACGAGGTGTACCTAACTTCACTCCATATTTCATGCTAACAGTGTGTTTCACTCCCATGAAGTTGTAATTCCAAGGTCCATTATCAGGTACCTGCACAAAATAAATCAATTTACATTCACATCTACATGGAAGAAAGCATCGCAAACATGCAGGAAACATTGATGCAGTAATCAAAAATCCAACTGAATAATCTGTGCATACTTACCATGTAAAAGCCAAGGAATCGGTCACTCAACAGCATCTGGACCTTCTCATAATGAGTTGGCAGGTAACCATGAGGGTTACTTCCTGTATCCTTGTTAGCACGTCCCCATTCGTACCCAGTTGGCGTCAACTTATATGCAGTTAATGAACAAGACCCTGGCGTGAAACTGCATGTCAATATAATACACTTCTCTCCATCCCAGTGTTTGTTGTTCTCCAGGACCCGAGCATGTGAAGTGACATCCTGTGATTCAGAATAATTCACACATCAAAAGAGCCGTGCATAGAGAGAATAAACAAACCCAACCTAATGCCCAGAATAACTCATTACAGCTACACAAACAAAACAAAGACCATTAGAAGTTAACCTGTGGCGATAACTGAGGAAGCTCATTTGGTTGTGTATGCATCCATCCCAACGGCTCCAAGTCGGTCAGAAAATCATGCTCAGGAAGACCAGAAGGTAGATGCACCTGCTGATGTGTACCCCACTGTGGAGGCATTGCAATACACCGGATTTCTTTCACCTGAGGATTATCTGGTGGACTTACACCATACAAGTAACCAGCAATTTGTGTCCGCAGATCAGCAATGCAGATGAACTTCTTCAGAATATTTTTTGGCATGATGTAAGTATATCCAGTCTCCTGAACAAATAGTTAAAATCGAAATATGTTAGTGGAATATTTTTTTTTGGTAACTACAATGATTCTATGTAAAAAGTGATAAAAAGGTATAGTATGTCTAGTTGAGCAAAAGAAGGCGAGACAATGAGCACCTTTATGTCCTCCGAATTTACATATATGTGGTTCACACGGAGATAGAGATTTGTAGCAGAAATTGCTCTGACACGCCAATCTGTTTTAGAGCCAAAGGCAGCTTGTTCATAGGGACTTGTTGTAGTAACAATCAACTCATCACCATGGACATTAGTTGTCTTTGTGGTAACAGCAGTCAGTTGACTTGCTTCCTTAGCCTGAAAGGATATGCACATCAGCAACAGCAAATCTAAAACAAAGTACTACTTCGCCAAGTACTAGAAGGACCAAGACCATTACCTGTTTCTCAATCTCAGCTATCTGTTGGCGCTGCTGTGATGGTGGAGTTATCTCAGCTCCAAGTATAATATCACGGATCTCAGACACTGTCAATGCTGATGTGTTCACATTGTTCTTTTTTGCATAGTCTGAGAGAATGAGATCTCGAAGCGCTACCTCAACCTGAAACCATGCACAACAATCCAGAATTAGAAATACGTCAACCAAATCAAAATCCACAACCTCACAGGTGTGCTACCAAACAAGACAAAGAGAGATTCTCTCCTTATGAAGAGCGCTCATAAAGCCACTGACAAAAGTTCCTTTCACAATATCAAGGTATGGCAAATACCGGATGAAGCATAGGTACATTGACTTAAGCATACCTTCATCCACTGGTCATCTGTAAGTGAAGGCCAGATGTGGTGAGGCTCGGTAATGACAGACTTGTCAGGCTTGAGTAACATCTTAGCCTTCTCATTGTTCACATGGAGTGCACGCAGAATGAGGATGAGCCTGGAGAATGCTGTATAAGATGAGATACTCTTCAACCAATCATCATATATGTTGAACAGAACCATTTGTGGCTCTGTAGCCTTCAATATCAGATCACCAAATTTCTCTATCTTCAAACAAGCCTGGAATGGTAATTGCAGCTCACTTCCTTTGATAACAATATTTGGAAAATCGAGCAAGTGGACCTCCAATGGATCAAGCATTCCCTTCCGAGTCACAATAATTTGCTTTGGTTGTTCTTCAACAGGCAAAGACCTAACAAGCGCAGCCACTTCTTCGGCTGTTTTCCACTTTGCCAGTTGGCCAAGACGCTTTTGCCCTGCCCACACACTTGTGTGAATGACCTGTAAATGAAAAGAACAGGACACACATTAGCTACTGGACAATGGAGTTCTCCCAAAGAGTTCATGAGAAAATTATAGTCAAACTGCACTTACCTTCAAAAACAGTTGACCTGTCCTGGGATTGAAAATGAAAATTGCACCATTTATGGGCTTGGTTGTCAGATTTCCCTCAAAGGTCTTGTGGATGGTCACACGGTACACATTTGTGTCATCAACAAACCAGATGATTTGATTGCTGAATATCTCTCCATAGTTCTGAGATGATAAATATGGTTCTGTGGGCTCTGAAGAATACAGTTGCAACCCTTTCCTTATGCGTTCCCTCAGCACATAGAGCGCAGGATTTGACTGCATAATCGAACATAAGGATGTTAAGAAACTTTCAGCCGTAACACATACTGTACATGCACCACTTCACAAAAATAATGGATGATTGGAAGGGGAGAGATACCTTCATAATCTTGTTCATGGCTTGGGCAAGCAACGGTTTTGAACCAGGAAACCAGTTTCCAAAGGCGGAATGCAAGTTGTAAGCAAGGTCAAGTCCAATCATAACACCTGAAAAAAGAACCAAGTAAATAAAACTTGTCTGACAAAGG